TATCTATCTATCTATCTATCTATCTATCTATCTATCTATCTATCTATCTATCTATCTATCTATCTATCTATCTATCTATCATCTATCTATCTATCTAGCCACCTGCAATCTTTAGCTCTCCTGGCCATTTTGATAATTGCATCGATACCAAAATTGGTATGGCATAGCATGGCTGTATGACGAGCATGTAAGTATAGCTCATCGTCGTTGCGCTCTAGCTTCACACCAAATTCGTTGTTACGTGACGTGAATTATAGACGAAAGTATATGACTGGTACAAATATGATAATCATATTAGCAGTTTCGGCAGTTTCGCTAGCTTCACAAATACCAACTTTGATATTACGTGACGTCAATGAACAACAAAGGTCATTGGCCCGTCCAAACATGATAATTATGATATTCGTGTCAGGTAAAACATAGATGCTACACTCATCGCGCGCTCGCAGCCATTTCGCCAGCTCCACATATACCAAATTTGGTATCACGTTATGTGAATAGGCGACGAAGGTAAATAACGCATCCAAATGTGATAATCACCGCATGCGTGTAATGTAAAACACGACTACATGCTACGCTCATACATCGTTTGCGGCCATTTCGCTAGCTCCACATATACCAAATTCGGTATCACGTGACGTGAATAGACGACGAAGGTAGATTACGCACCCAAACATGATGGTCACGACGTGGAAGTCATGTACGGCACAATTTACTTTCACCTCGTAACGTTGTGCCGATTTTAAAGTGATATACTTTTCTCAAACGTGCTTCGTATTTCATTGATTCCCACTGTACGCAGAACCTGACAATACTTTCGCGCTTGTAAATCAGTCTTAATCAAAAACCAACTCGCCCAAGCAGTAGCTTTAGCAATATTCTTGCTATCGGCACCACCATGTCATTGACAGGCTGTTTTGATTCTGCGAATGTGCTGCCGAATGTGCTGTGTTTATCTCTCTTCCCTCTCTGCTCTCTATATCTCGTCTCCCACATCTCCCTCCCAAGCGCAGGGTAGCAAACCGGCTGCCTATAGGCTGGCTAGCCTCCCTGCCGTTCTTTTCTTCCTATTTTCCTTCCTTCCTTTGACTCTGCAAAAGATGCAATTTCGGCCGCTTTGGCGCAGTATACTTCTGTGTAACAGATGACGCAGTCTCTATATGTGTCATATGATGCTTCTGTGCGTTTATTCTTGGCGCGTTACTTCCAGTAAACCGCTGCTAAATTGGGCTAGTCAGAATGGTATATGTGGAAACTGAGCCTTTCGATAAATAACTATAGGCAGCACGCATTCAGCAATTTTATTCTTTTTAGGTCTGCCTCATCTCTACTTACGCGTGAGGAGCATGATGGAAAGAAACTTTTCTTATTGTATGAGTAATAAATAGTGTTGATCCCTTAATGATGACTATGCGTACTCCTTCTCGCTTAGGAGATAAAGTATGGTGGTATACTCCGAGAGTGTAAAGCTCTCTTAATTATTCCGGCACTTACAAGTGTAAAGGAACGTATCGCACAGCAAGAACAAAAATTCACCATAGATTGTCGGCAAAATAACTTACCCACCTTGCCAAAAAAAAAAAGAAACTGGTTGGAGGCCAACATTTTGGCACTTAGAAAGATACACTGCGAAATAGTTTTTATTTCGGCTTAACAGGTATTTGCCGCCGAATTTATTACTACTACACCCTTCACATTGATGTTTTTTTTTCAATTACGCGAAAAAAAGGAAAAGCACATAGCATGCCACGGAAATGTGATAAGTGCAGCTTGAATATCATTCCAATTTCGACAACTTAGCCGTTCAAGTATTGCGTTTGTGAAGACTATCTGGCCGCAGCGTATATATGTACGCTACGCCGCGACGGACGCTACTACTTAGCGTTAAAATTTACTAATGGTCCTAGATATATTTCTGTAACCCAAGCTGGCCTGCGTTTATTGCACTATGATTTCGTGTGGCTGGCGAACAAAAGAACGCGGGCTTATCATAAAAATTGCACTAATGGGAATAGCCAACGTCTTCTATTTACAGGTGCCTATCATAAAATAATAGAGCGTTTCAGTTTAGATTACGCAAGGCTGCACAACCGAAGAAGAACGGTTATTTGGGCTAGTTGGTTGGAATTCATGGTAATAAGGGCTGCAGCGCAAGCACGAAGGTGCTAGAAGAAACGTGAAACGAAAGGGAGGCAAGGAAAGCAAAGAGGACAACACGAGCGCTGTGTTGTCCTCTTTGCTTTCCTTGCCTCGCCTTTCGTTTCACGTTTCTTCTAGCACCTTCGGACTCGCACTTCAGCCCTTATTACCATGCCCAACCGATGCGTGTGCAGCGTGCTGCGTACGTTACGTTTGAGACTGTGCGCAGCAGCCTAAACGTAGAGAGTGCCATAACGTGAACAGGCTTGCTTTTGTGTAACATCAGTCTTTGTTCGGCCCAGGTCAAGGCATGAGACAAATGGCTTCTCGTCAACGTCGTGTCCTATTGTTGTGCCGTTTGGTTGAAATCAATTCGAATTTCGAACTCTCCGATTCGTCTCGGGGCGCACTCTGTTAATGGATACTGAACAAAATTGTTGTCGCCACAGATTCAAGCATAACTGGTATAGATTGGGTAACGAAATCAACAGACACGACCTTCATTTCAGGCAGAAGAAATAACGCTTCAATGAGTTTTTCACAATTTGCCGTTTCCAGCAGCTGCGCCGTGAATTAGAGGAGGTGACGTTTTGTGACGTTACATACACCGGAAACAGGCGGTGCCAGTCATCATTCGCGTTATGCCCACGTCGCTCGATTCACCAAGATATAACTACGGTTCCCAGAAACACTACGATTAGCACCGGCAGCGCAAAATACTCCCGGATTTGTAAAGCACCAACGCTTCTTTGGGAGGAGTCAGCGAGAGTCCCAATAAGGAATTGTTGGTACATGATTAGCTAGGACACTTGGTAGTAGCGCGAAATCGACAAAACAACACAATAATTGAGGCATGGTGCAGACCTAGTGCTACTCGCAACAACATTGTTTATTTTTCCAGAACCGACCTCCGTACATACATCGTAAAAAGGAACAATGGCCAATTATCACCTGGAGCTAACATTACAACTACGCGAGGAAGTCGCTTAAAAAAAACAGCACCATAACTAGAGATAACCGCACAGAAACACATTCTGAGCAATATTTAAATAAACCTAACTGTTTAGTCGACGAAGATACCGATGTATTGCTAACGCATTTATCACCAAGTGAATTGATAGGTTGACCTTCATGAATGAGGCGGTTGATTTAGTCCTCATGACGACCAAAAATGAGAGTCCCGTGAATATCCGGCTCACAGCCACACGACTGAGTCGGAGGGCAGGGAACCGTCAAGTGGCAGCTTTTGAGTCTCATTGTCGAGCTCTCAAAGCCTCGTATTTTTACACTTGCTGGTCTGTCCGGTGTAGTATTTCAAAACAGCGGGATGCAATAGATGACGAATGACTATAGCATTCTATGAACGTGTGCTTGTGCTTGACTCTACACTCTCTCTTGTGTGTGTGTGTGTGTGTGTGTGTGTGTGTGTGTGTGTGTGTGTGTGTGTGTGTGTGTGTGTGTGTGTATGCGCGCGCGTGTGTGTGTGTGTAACTGAGGAGTTTGTTTTTAAGCAGAGGGTTTCGTGCTTATGGGGCCCTGAAAATATGACCGTTAAAGTTTTTGTAAGGCCATTTTCTTGACATTATCAGACAGCTTATGAATATATAAGATTAGAGCTCTGTTTCTGTAGTCTGTGTTAATGTGGTCTAGAGGGTCAGATTCGCTCTGTCGTGCTTGATATTGTTGAGGTGCTTTCCTGACTGAAAAAACAAAGAATAGCCGGATTCTTTTAGGCGTTGTATCCACTGCGAAAATGTGTGACTCATCAAGAAACTGTAAGAATTTTTAATGAGTTAGCGAAGCACACACTCATGATGTCTCTGTTGACTAGGTTACTGTAGTTTTAAATAAAGGGGAGAAGTGGCTTGTTAGTGCGAGGTGCATAACGGCAGCATGACCGGTAGTCAGAGCAAGTTAGCATGAGGTCAATAAATTCAGTGTCTCCGTTACCCTGCCATTCAACCGTGACTTCGAGGAGGTTAAGTCTATCGAAACACACATTCAGCATATCAGAGCTTTCGTTTAGAAAACACTCAGATGAGCAGGTAATGAAGTGGATGAAATCATCCACACAACGAAAAATATTTCAGTACACTAGTTCCTATGAGTTGATTAGCAAATTACCTGTTAAGTTCAGCTAAATATAGATAATTTAACATGACGGCGATACATGAGCCTCTACAGATACCGCTTTGTTGCAAGAACACAGTATTGATGCACTGTATAAAGGTCGACCGTAAGTAAAATTTCAACGGACAAAATAAATCGTCAACATAGAGGCTGGCTCATGTTGACGATCTGTTTCTGTGCGGTTATCATTTGTTATAATGCTGTTTTGTCGGTAACTTTCTTGTGCGTGCTTGATGTTAGCACCACGTGATTATTTCTCACTGTTGTATTTGCGATGTATGCAGTGTGGTCGGGTCGGAAAGCAATGTTGTTGGTAGTAGCGCTACGTGTGCCTTCATTGCGCCCTAATTCTTGTGCTATTTTGCGGACTTCACGCTGAAACCACGTGGAAGGGGATAGTAGGATGAAAATAAATGTGGAGCAAAAAGAGAGGATCAGGAACACATGAACACAGGAACACATGAACGACTCGCGCACATACGTTGCACGCTGACAATTCACCAAAAACACGTGAAGATATGTTGATATGATCGTCTTCCGAGTGCAATTTCAATGTTTTCGTCAGTTTACCCCATTTTTGTACAGTATCCCTTTAAACAAGGACAGTTGTGATGGTTGCTATGAGGCGAGCAACAGTAAGGAATTAACCAAAGTAATAAAACATTTGTTTACAATCTTCACAGTTTAGGCACACTTTCATTGCGAAAAAAAACTGATCACTTGACGCTTACCAAACGCAAGCGGTGGCTCTCAAGCGGTGGCTCTCAAGCGCTGACTGAAGCCTAGGCTGAATAGAGTGCAGCATGAGACACAACCGTGAAGCAGTTTTGCTGAGGCAGCCTTCCCTCCGTGGACTTCTTGATCTGTTGTGCGTTGAATCAGCGTTGTTTCGACGGTAATTCCGATTCTTGAAAAAGAACCGTCATTGACTGCTTCGTACAGTGTTACTCTTTCACAAAAGTGCCAACGTGCAGTGGATACGGTGCTGAGTCGCAAAGTGCTGTGCCTCGTACTACGACTAAGCAGCGATAACAGTGCACTACACCTAATGCCCTAGAGGGCTCAAGCTCCGAATTTAGATAACGAATTCGAAATCAAGTGCATTGCAGAAGCACACGAGTTTTGTTCGCTCCCTTGACTACCGTGCTGCTGCGCCGCTATCGGTCACGGCCATCCTGTTTGTTTCGCTCTTGGCAGGTCGAGAACTCACGAGAGAGCCCACCGGTAAGGCACACAACTGCTGTAGCGGCAGCAACGCAAGCGAGGAGCCCCAGTGCGTGCATCTCAGGCATGCCCGAGGCACGCATACCTGATACTTTCTTTCTGATGCTTGCGCACTGCGTGCGGCAGCCCTTTGCGCGCTCTAAATCATAGCTGTCTAATTTTTCTTGCGGTACTATCTTGCTCCCTGCGCACCTCTTGGGAAGCAACGTATTTTTTTTTTCACGTACGGGTTATTTCACCCTACAGCGCAGATTCTCATCTTGGGCACAATATGTTGCTCTCGTCTGAATTAATTTTGCTGTGACCACGAATAAATCTGCGAAAGATATAGTTACAAAATGTCTGAACTACACGGGCCGGGTTCCCCATTAGTAAATGTTATACAGAAGTCCTTGATCGGACCCTTTAGTTGGACGGACACTTGAACTTCTTGGTAGATTGTCATCGTAAAAAAACAATCACAGCATATCCACGGAGTGATTGATATTGAGTGCGGCGAAGGATCCATCTCTGCCTTTTTCGTCCATTTGTTTTTCCTTCCGTCCGTCCATCCATGCGACCGTCCGTGCGTCCGTCAGCCCGTCCGTCCATCCGGGCGTCCGCCTCTCTGTCTGTTCATCTGTCCGTCCGTGCAACCATCTGTTTGCTGCCTGTCTGTGCATCCACCTGCCTGTTTGCCTGTCTCTGCATCTACCCGCGCGTCTCTCTGTCTGTCCGTGTCCATCCATCCGTGCGACCGTCCATTTAGTGAACACTGTAAGTACTGCCATTTCACATGTTTTCATCATATATCCACCATATACAAGTACCGCCATCCAGTGGACATTCCAAGGACTAAACGAGAAGAGGCTACCTACCACTACTACAAAATACATCGGGGACGCATGACCCATGGCCTAAAGAGCTTCGCCACTAAAAAGTTGGTCAGACAGACACAGAGACAATCGAAGAAAAATGTGGAACAACGTACCCTCAGCTAGGGCATAAGAAGGTAACTTTCGTGCCTGTAACTTATCTTTCACCATAAGTCAATTTTATTTACTCAGATATAGTGTTTTGTGCATTTATCCGTTATTTAGTCTCTTGTGTTTACGGAGAAAATGCCTCGTCACTATAAAAAAACCCAGTTTCTTAAAAATTTGAAACTTCTCTGCTACAACCCGAGCAGTTTTTTTCGTTCTAGTCGGTTGAAGTTCGAGCTTGTTAGAATGGCATGCGCTTTTCACTGCTAACACGCCACGTCATTCGCTCAACCTACCGATGGGTCCCTCATTGCTAGACCAAAGTCACTTGCCGCATATTTTGAACTCACTTGTTTTAAATTAGCAGCACACATTCACACTTTTTTTTTACTGTATACTGCCAATACTGGAAACTGAAAAAGTACGCCATATCAGAATGTAAAGGATTCCGTGATATACATATATATATACCATATATGATGTGGAAAGCTTGCGGTAGAAATTCCAGGGGCATAAATTGCACTGTCCAGCTTAGAGCAGGCCCCGCCACGGTGGTCCAGTGGCTAAGGCACTCGGCTGCTGATACATAGGTCGTGGTATCAAATCCCGGCTGCGGCGGCTGCATTTCTGATGGAGGCGGAAATGTTGTAGGCCCGTGTGCTCGGATTTGGGTGCACGTTAAAGAACCCCAGGTGGTCGAAATTTCCGGAGCCTTCCACTACGGCGTCTCTCACAATCATATGGTGGTTTTGGGACGTTAAACCCCAAATATCATCATCAGCTTAGAGCAGCGAGCACCCTACTTCTCCAAATAGAAACCCATGCGATGAGGAGTTATGTTGGTCTCATAACATGTAAAAAGTGTTAAATTATCCCTCGGAGAGAACGACACCACCAGTAATAATATCTTGAAGGTATTGGTTTCAAGATAAAAGGGGCGTGAGGCCAGCACCAACATGACCGTGCCACTCACGCATTTTGGTTTGCTAACGCAGGTTGGTGGTTGTTCAAATGAGGGTTTCATCTTTTATGTATTCATGATGCCGGTGACGCCCCGTAGTTCAAGCACGGACTTAAAATGCCGTGTCGTGTGTTGTTATACGAGACGTCCCTTTATTTTACTACGCAGAAACGCGTTTTATTTCTTGCTTTTGGTTCTGTGAGGTGACGTTGAGTTAAACCCTGGTCCGACTACGGCAGAGGCACTAAATGGAATTTTGGATGGTCAGAAAGACATAAAGGCCAAATCACAGGCTATTGAGACGTCGCAAAATCAAAGTAACACAGATATACAAGAGCTAAAGTCACGAATAGATTCAATGGAAAGCGCAATAGCCCAGTTCGCAAACTTAAAAGAAGCTGTGACAGAATGCAGAAAGAAAACTGAAGATACGCATAGTATCGTCAAGGATTTATCTGCTAAAGTGGATGACTTGGAAAACCGCAGCAGGCGATGTAACTTGATATTTTATGGTGACGCTGACAGTGAAAGTCGTGAATTGCCTACTGCTTCTGAGAAAAAAGTTCAAGAAACCGTATCCGGTTTAGGATTATCGTCAGTGAAGATTGAGCGGGCACACAGGCTTGGACGGTACCAGAATAACAAACCTAGACCACTTATTGCAATGTTTTCAACGTACAAAGATAAACAGACGATCTTAGCCAACGCTAAGAAGCTAAAAGGCTCCAGTATTAGTATATTGGAAGATTTCTCAGAGGTTGCGGTAATGGATGTACAACCTCACGAGGCAACGTCTGACTCCGGTTCGACCGCGGCCACTACCTCGAGAAAGCGAGGAAACACATCCAGTGAGAGCGATGACACTGAGCTGTACTCCGCATCTTGCGACGAGTCCTCAGACAACGGCTTTCAACCTGTCCTGCACCGCAAGGCCAAGCGACGGATCATCAATCCATCGCCGGTGTCAAGCACAGCCACCGTGAAAACGGCGCCCCAGCGATGGCCCCATTCCATCCTGTTTGTGCCAAAGAACGCTACCGAAAGTCTGCGTGTTCTGAACAGGCAAGCGCTTTCGCTCTATTTTGAGAACACTGTGCCGAACGAGATTAAAGACCTACGGCTTAATACAAGAAGAAACATCCTGGCTGTAGATGTGCGGCACCCGAGTGCGCTGAGCACGCTGCAACAAGTAACACAACTGGGAAACATTGCTGTTAGGTCCATCATTCCAGCTGATGGTGTGACCACATCAGGAGTCATTTACGACATTAACACGGAAATACCAAACGCAGACCTTCCAATACTTATAAAACCAGCGAGTCAAGACAACGTCATTGTCAGCGTTGGACGGCTTGGAAACACACGCTGTGTGAGAGTAACGTTCAAAGGTGACTGTCTTCCCGCATACGTGAAGGTTGGCCACTTTCGTCAACAAGTTCGACCGTTCATTCCTAAACCCGTGCAATGCTTCAATTGTCAGAAGATCGGCCATGTAAAGGGTGTTTGCAGGAGCTCCGCAGCGTGCCCCCGGTGCGCCGAACCACACGCGGAAGACAACTGTAGCGCTACCACACTGAAGTGTCCTAACTGTCAGGGTGCTCACAAGGCTTCTTCGAAAGAATGTCCGCACATAAAGAAAGAATTTTCTATTTTGAGGCAAATGGTACGAGACAGCTCCACCCACAAAGAAGCTGCCGAGAAAATCCGGCGAAGACGACGTCGCCGTCGAAGGTCTTCACGTCGGAGAGCGCCAACCTCACGCGATAAGTCGACGCATCAGGAAAGATCGCCAGCTTCAGTTTACAGCACGGCAAACACAGACGTTGTAAAAGAGCAAAGGGGCAGACCAGTCTCAACAGAAGAGTGGCCTCCACTTACGCGTACACAACGCTCAGAAGAGCCGCAGCAGAAGCCGTCTTCTTCAGAGCAAGCTGCTGTAATGGAGGACTTGCGGAACACAGATCAGCAAGTAATAGCTCTTTTGCGACCATTAATTAACGCCATCCGCTTGTTGTTAAGCAACTTGCACACACCGTCAGCAAGAAGTGCATTGCAATTACTGGACGCTTTGAGTCCAGTACTCGCAGCGCTTGAGTAAATAATGGTTCACCAGCCACTGTCTTTCAGAAAAGAGGTCCGAAAAGCAGCGATTATTCAATGGAATGCCCGGGGACTGAGGTCACGCATCGCCGATTTCCGTCGGTTCGTGTACACCAATAAGTTCCCCATCATTGTCATCTGCGAGCCAAATTTGCAGAAAGAAATCAGACTTTCTGGTTATGAGTCATTCATGTCGTCTACAAATGTGGACAATAGCAAAGTTCTGATGTTTATTCGCCGCGACCTCACCTATATTCATCATCCGGTGTCACCCCACGACGACAATCAATATATAAGTATAACAGGAAAAAGGAGACTTACCATCACGGTTGTGGGTGCCTACCTCTCTCCGTCAAGTCGTTTCGACCATACAAGACTACAAGGTATCCTGTCAGCAACTTCTCACCCATGCATTATAATTGGCGACTTCAACGCCCATCATACTATCTGGGGAAGACCAATGTTAAAGGGAGAAAGTTGGTGTCCTTCGCCTCCGACAACCAACTTTTCTTGCTAAATGATGGCAGTCCAACGTTCCTACGTGGTTCAAGGTATAGCAGCTGCCTAGACCTGGCCTTTGTCTCACGAGGCCTCGTCAGGCATGCTGAGTGGTTTCCAGACATAGAAACGCATGGAAGTGACCACATTCCCACTTACGTCAAAATCGAAGGATTGTCCCATGCTAAGATACGCGACAGTGTTCAGAGAGTGGACTGGTTGAAATCCCAGTCTCGCATGGAAGAGCAATGTGAAGCAAACATATCCCTCGACATAGAGGAGATAATTAAAAGCACAATACACGATACTACATGTACCCTCACCTGCTCTCCAAAAGTAACGGAATTTGACATCGAGCTAGAACGACTTCGAGCAATCCGACGGCGTGCTGAACGAAGATACCGACGCACGGAGGCAATAGAAGACTTACGGATTGCTTGACG